TACAGGGGACGCACAGCCCACGCCTTAAGGAGCTTCGCTCCTAAAAGTGTGCAACTTAGCACACCACCTTGCGGTACTCCAGTCTTCTGGACAAATGTTTTAGACAACACATTCCCCACTCAGACACGAAAACTGTGGTTGGACAAATGACTTTCGATTTTGGTCAGCATACTCATACGCCTTTTCTATATCGAGAAATACCGAAAGGAAGAATTGTTTATGTACGAGAGCGACGCGGATTTGCGCCTTAATGCGTAATAGGTGGTCAGTGGCTGATCTACCTTCTTGAAATCCACACTGGTATTAATCCAGTAGGTTGTCTGTTTCCAGGAAATATATTAGTCTATGGTTAATTATCTTTTTGGACAAGCTTACAGAGGCAACTTGTTAATATGATCGCCCTGTAACTCCCTACAGAGGACGGATCCTTCCCATGTTTCAATATTAAAATGACAATAGCCTCTTTCCAAGAAGTAGGGACCTCACCGGAGAACCAAATGATGTTGTACAGAGAAAGTAAGGTTTTTAGTGTTTCGAGACGAACATTTTTTAACATTTCATAGACCGGGTGGTCTGAGCCTGGGGTGGAATTACTACAGTTATTTAGCGATGTCTGTAACTCAGCCAAGCTAAATGGTTGGTTGTATGGCTCATTCGTTGTACATTTGCATTCTAGTTCCTGCTTGTCTATTCTCGTTTTGTACAGCTGGAAAGCTTGAGAGTAGAGCAATGAGCTGGAGATGAGCTCAAAATAAGCGCCTAGAGAGTTTGCCTGGTCTTCCAAACTGAAAGTTTCCTTCAGTGCTTACAAGAGGCACCGAATGCACTTGTCTTCCAATCACCTTACTAGCCCTGTTCCAGACTTTACCCTCTTGAGAATATGAGGTAATGCCAGATAGAAATTTTTGCTAAGATTCTCTTCTTGCCTATCTGCGTGTCCTTCTTCCTTGGGACTTTATGTTTTTAAATTTTGTAAGAGTCTCTGCTGTCGGAGAGTTACGAAGCAACTTGCATGCTTTATTTTGCTTATTGCGAGCTTTATTTTGCTTATTGCACTCGTTCCACCATGGGACACATGGTTTGCTGGGCAGTCCAGATGTCTGAAGGATGCATTGAATTGCAGCTTCAGTCAAAAAGGCTGTAAAGTACTCCACAGCTTCTTTTACGCCTAAACATATGTCAGTCCTACTTAAACTAGTAATCTTATGAAACTGATCCCTATCAGCTTTTTCTATCAGCCATTTAGGAACCAGTGGAGGACATTTGTTTAATACTGATGCACTCAATACAACAAGAAAGTGGTCATTTGCCAATAGATTTTTTATGACTTTCCATTGGAGTAGAGATAAAAATTATGGAGATGCAACGCTAAGGTCTATCAGCGAGTATGTATTGTTAGCGAGGTTGTAATGTATTGGCTCTTTGCTATTCAACAGACAGGCACCTGATGTAAAGAAGAACTGCTCAATGAGACGACCTCGTGCATCACAGTGACAGTGGCCCAATAAAATGCTGTGCGCATTTAGGTCCTTTAGGACCAAATCAGGTTATGGTAGCTCATCTATTAAAGACTGGAATTCATGTTTTTCAATACGGTGTTGAGGGGGTATGTATAGAGAGCAGATGGTGACGAGTTTATTCAATAGAACTGCTCGCACAGCTACTGGCTCTAGGAATGTTAGTAGCGGTACATGAGTACATGCTACTCCTCAATTAACTATTATGGCTACACCACCAGATGACGCTACAGCATCATCTTTGTCCTATCAGAAGATGACATAGTGATGCAAAAAATTTATATTCTTGGATTTTAGGCATATTTCTTGTATACACAGCACTTTTTGAGAATGTTTCTGTAAGAATTCTTGGACATCGTCGAGGTTTCGAAACAGTCCTCTGATGCTTCATTGTATAATTTGTCTCCATACTGGAAGTAAAGAAGTGCTGTGTGTACGAAATGGGGGTGGCCGGTGTCTCAAAACGAAAAGTGACTCATTTTACACAGCCTTTGGGAGGCCCTGTAATTACTGTTTTGTCTTTTTTTAAAGCGGTCGAGGGGACCTCGCCGCTTCTTTGGCGCAGTCTGCTCCGGTGCCCTGAAGGTGTCCATCGCCTCAGTAAAGGCGCCAGACAGGACTGTTCTTATGGCGAATTCCACTGGTAGATCCGGCGCGGCCGCCGAAATCTTGGAGCGAGCACTCGGATTGTGCCAAGCCAGATCTGCGAGTGGAACACGTGAATGCCCCGCCTGAGGTCGTGTTGGAAGTTGTTCACACATACGTCACTAAACCAGTCTTGAAAACTTCCTCGACATAGCCAATTATCTTCGATCGAGACTTCGGCTATGCACACGATGGGAAAGCACGTGCGGCTCGTCCTTGCTGCTGCTACTAGTGTTCTCGCTGTCGCTCAAAGTGAGAAGCAAACCAGCAGCAGCACGTCCAACAGCATCAAAAAATGTCATTTTAGAAATGTAAACCCGTGCAGAAGGCACCGCCTTGAAAAAGAAAAAAAACGCTCAAGGCAGCTGCAGGCAACGGCGCCGCTGGACTGTGCTGGAAATGACAACAACACATTCTCGGAATCCGTCTTTGTAAGACGGAGCACACGGAACACGTCGTCCTGGAGTGAGTTGCTCCTAATCTGCCAGTGGAACAAGCGAACTTGCTTCGAATCTACCAGTGGAACGTAGATTCTCGGCCGCAAAGCAAGAAAACTTGCTCCCGCTCGACGAGTGGAATTCACCATTAGTGTAGACTTCGTCGCTATGGACGGAGCCTTCAACCCCACCGGGACGGAGGTCGGCGGGACCTCTTTAGTTAGTGTGGTGCCCTGGCTGTTGCCAGGGTTCCCAGGGGCCTTTGGTGGGGCTGTGTTCAGGGAGGGCGGGGCAGCTGAGGCTGCTCCCACCGTGGGGGCTTGTGGTGTTTTCCTCGGCACGCTAGGCGTGGTCAAAGACATTGCCGAAAACCATAGTGGTGCTTACTCGCCTCGCACCACTTCAGCGTACGATGTGTTCCCTGCATAATGCGGAGAAAAGCGCTGCCATGCTTCACGGAAACTTATGTTCAGTTTGAATTTTGTGGTTATTATTTCTTCTTCCCTTTTCCAGGCCACGCATGACTTGAAATATGCGGAATGATCACCCTCACAGTTTGTGCAGTGGACTTCTGAATTACAATCATAGTCAGCAGAATGGCTTTTTTTGCCGCATTTCAGGAAGGTAAGCTGCCCTCGACCGTTCTGCGAGCCATGGCCAAACCGCTGGCACTTGAAGCAGCGCTACGGGTTTCGGATGTATGGTCTCACTGGCAGTTTGAGATAACCTGTTACTATTTCTGTGGGGAGTATGGCGGATCCAAAGTAAAGTATGAGGTGTTTCGTGGGAGTTTCTTTGTTGTCTCTTCGTATCTTTATGCGTTGCACATCCATGACATTCTCGTCCTTCCAGCCTATCAAAAGTTCTTCGCCAGATCTCCTTCATCGTGTTCAAAGTACGATGTGGTGTGATGATTATGGGCTAATCACCGAATGCTTTTAGGTTATGCAGTCTCTGGTATTGTAAGTGGTCTTTTAGTTCTATCAGGGAATCTCCACTGGCAGTCCTGGTCCCTTTGTACCAGGCACGTAGTGTTTCAATAAGGCACTTTGGCACTAGGAAGGGCAAAATATTTCTGGCCTTCTTTACTTTGCTTTCCCCGTGAATTATGTGATATTTTGAAAAGTTTTTTTTTGTCAGGAGCAATTCAAAAATGACATCAGTGCGCCAACTCTTTGAAAGGCGATCAGTTTGGCGAGGGCTAGAAGATCCCATAAAAATGTGTAATTTGTTCGGCAGACATGCCAGCCAACCAACCACCTTCGAGCCCAACAAGGGGACGCTGTGAGACTCGAAGGAAACACGAACGCCAGCTGTACATGCCCACTATAACCAAATATAAGATAACCTTGTATGTCGTAACCAAACTAGGTTGGTTACGCCACACAAAGTTATCCCTTGCCGCCAGGAAGAAAGTAAAGTAAGTAGAAGAGGGGAGAGGACAGGAAAGAAGAAAAGTGAGAGAAAGGCAAAGATCTCAAAGGAGAAGGAGACAGGAAAAGGCGACTACCGATTTCCCCTCAATGGGTCGGGCTGGGGGTGCTGTCTACGTGAAGCCGGGGCCGAAGGGGTGTGTTGCCTCTGCCAGGGGGCCTTAAGGGTCCAATGACCCGGCATCAGCTCAACCGCCAGGATCCCCTTTTGAACATGACACAAAAGAACGCGCAACTTGTCCAAGCAACCACTTCAAATAAAACTAATATTTTCTATATTTAGGTCGAAGCATCGCCGACGTACATTCGGTGGATGACTACCAATATAGTCAACACTAATGCAAATTTATTGTAAACATTTAAACACTAACAAACGCATAGCAGCAGCGCTGTCGAGCCGCAATCAGTCACAATAATTCCAGCACTCTCGCTTTCAGTCTCCCCAGACGGTCCCCTACTGGTGGCACTGCGGTGGCAGCACAGAGAACTATGCACACGGTGTAGTATCCGCTCCACACAGCAGGCCGCAAGCGTGTGTTTTTCATTGACCAGTCATGGCACATGCTGCATGTGTGGCCGCAAACCGCTTTCGCATGACACCGTAATCATGACACCGCTTTTGCATGACACCGTAAACAAAAAAAAAAACAAGAGAAATTGTTGAAGCAGAGAGGATTTATAGATTAAGGCTGAACCGTGTCAGCACTCCCTCTCTCAGGCTTTGTCAAAAAGAATTGGCTTGCATGAGAATGTAAAAGTTTCGCGCATGGCAGTTGTGGGCTTCTTGATTGTTTTGCTTGTTTTTCACATTTCAAGAGTATGTGTGTTCGCACTTAGAAATAAGTCTTGTTGGAAGCAAGCGTCCCTGCTCTTGTCCTGTGTCAAACATTTTTCATCTCTCATCATCTGTGTAATACTCCCCTTTAAGGGCAAGAGCAAATAAAATTACTGAAAAGTCATGCATATACCAGTAAGTGAGCGGTGCAAGGGCGAAGGCGTCTGCCACCAGAAGACGGACATCGGTGCCATCGCTGTCGGACCGTTCAAATTCGCGGATGCAGCCGAGAATATCATCTTTGGTGAGGAAAGGCCCGTCGATCCGTTGCACCTGAAGCAAGTCTAGCAGGCGTTTCAACCACAGATCCTGGCGATCTTCATCCAGCGGTGTCAAGGCTTCCAGAAGGAACTTGCTAGCCTCACTGAAACCACGTTGAGACACAAGGTGCAAGTGTTAGTTCACCTTGCAAAATTTATTTTGTAGTGTCCGGACCACAAGTTGGCAAAAAAATGTACTCAGACACATTAAAACTTTTTTCAACTTAGGTCACCTGGACTCACACTCGCGGTTCAATCTGAATATGAGCGAGTCCAAGCGCGTCGACTAGTGAGCGAGATTGCTAACATATGGTCTGGGCACATGATACATTGGGTCTAACAAACAACCCCATTAGGTGATGAATGAACACCAAGCAAGAGATCACGAGTGCAGTCGCATACTAAGAGCTTGGGTTCTTTTTTGCAGTCTAGATGTCATTTAATATTGCATATAAAAGCTAAAATACCACTGTATGAATCAACTTTTGAATCAACAATACTAAATGTTCTTAAGATGCCGAAATCATGAGCTGATTTGAGTACATTCTAATGGGGTATTACCCCATTAGGTCCTGTATTGTGGGCTTTCTGTATCCCATGACATTTTTTTTTTTGTAGTAGTTTTATTCCACCCAGATAAAAGGATCAAACCTTGAGGCTCAGCAGTGCTATACCACAACTCTGCTACCATAATCTTAAAATTCATTATATTGCAGTAATTGTGATCCTGGAGTTCTCAACAGATGTCTTCAGAATGCTGCGTGATTCACAGGTGAAATCACTGAGCTGCATTCTTTGTTGCACCTGATTAGATTTGTGGGGTTTGACGTCCCAAAACCACCATATGATTATGAGAGACGCCGTAGTGGAGGGCTCTGGAAATTTTGACCACCTGGGGTTCTTTAACGTGCACCCAAATCTGAGTACACGGGCCTACAACATTTCCACCTCCATTGGAATCTTTGTTGCACCTGCTACATGTTGGTCTCAGGCACTGCAAATGCTGAGCACCTGGATCAGAACTGCTGGATCAACCTGGATCAAAATGCTGAGCACCTGGATCAGAACTTTTGTAGCCATAGAAGAAGCTGAGAGCTAGTACAAAGGAGGCATGTGCTCACTACTTTCATCTGGCAGGGACAAGTCAGCGTGACTTAGCTAATGACCCTAACAGTTCATAAATATAACCAAATTATTATATATTTTGCCGACATGCTCCTTAGCGCTTTTCTAGTTTCACAAGTCAACCTTTAAATTATGTTGACACGCCTGGGTGCACTTAAAGAGAGCAGAAATATTAATTTTTGTTGGGGCTTCACATGCTGAAATTACGGTATGATTATGTGTGATACCACGGGGGTGAACTCTGAAGTAACTTCAATCAGTTGTGGTTATTCTAACATGCACCTAGGTGAACGGGTGTTCTTTTGATTTCCCTGCATCAAAATACAGCCACCATTGCTGTAATGGAAATCATACACAGGGATGAGACGGCTGAACCTAAATTGGGAGCAGTTTTTCGAGCATCCCAATTCCAATTTTGGAGCAGACCCTTGCTTCAGAGCAGTTAGCGGCATTTAATATGTGGACCTGGGGGCTTGAAAATAAAAATTTTTAGCAACGTGGGGGCACCAAAGCATATTTTAATTGGCTAAAAATACACATAACACTGAAACAAATTTTGAAAGAAGTTTTTGAACAGATACAGAGTGCTTAACGCTGTTAAGCACTCTTTATTATGTTATACCAACACGCCCAATCCTACCGTCTGTTTTTGAACAGATTATCGCCAGCTATGAACTGCACTACCTTTACACATACCAGGTGACCTATCTAGCCCTCAGAACAAAGATGTGAAATAAAATTAAAAAAGGGTTTTGTTGAAAACTAGGTTCTCCGGAAACATTTAAAAAGAAGAACGCATCACACTCAAAAAGAAATTCGAAAATTGGGATTGCACAAGAACTGTAGTTACATAACAGTGGACCTTCGCTTAATGAAAAGCCTGACATGATAGTGTTAATTGTACTACAAACTTTTTACAGAAAACAAAAGCGCACTGCACAGCCGTTCACGACCACCTCATGCGGGACCACCTTCAAGAGTATAGCGCAGGAGCCAAGAAATGTCACCACACAGACTATATCGTGAAGTGCGGCATTAAGTGATAAGCGAATGATAATAATAACGCCTCTCCACACGAGCAACAATGCATTATTAATAAGGCTTACTCTGGCGTGTTCTGTTTTCTTTTATATCATAGGTCATCTTGGACGTCAAGGTAGAACTTCCGATAATTCGTCAACTTGGGATGGCCGCCCGTGCCGCGACTCGTATAAAGGCCTGACCCCACGAACCTGTTGCAGCAAGTCAGCACATGGCTTTTTGATGGGGCGCCGCGCCCTCTCTCTGTCAAGAGAGGGGGCGCGTGGCTACACAAAGCTGCGGTCGGCTCTCTCTCCACAAGAAAAGGGTGTGACGTCGCGTCAGAGCCATGCACTGACGGGCTGCAATGTGAACCTGTGGTCAGGCCTTAAAGCATTCGCACCGTGCAGCACAGGTGAAAAATCCGCGTTCACGGAAAAAAACCACCGAACGTACAGAGGCTAGCTTTATTTCAGAAAAAGAAAACGAAGTACGCCAGTCACACTGCGGAGTGGCTAAAAACCGAAACACCAATTAAACATACAGCTAAGCTAATAAACGTAAACCGGGAATGAGCTGCATGCATTCTGTCGCTCACGGAACCCATTTTGAGAACCCATGTGCACGCGCCAGAGCATCCAGGAGACGTGTTGCATGCAGGGAACTGAGTCCCTCACTCACAGCAAACGCGCAAGCGTAGGCGACTGCACACAGCAGCATCCACATGAAAATCGCAGCTAGTGGAGGAGCGCGCTTTTGCAAACAAGAGATTATTAACACTTGGCCTCTTAATATAATGACTTTAGTTTGAAACGGGTGGAAATAAGTAGAATGTCAGTAGCATGTATTGAGTCAGCTACCCAGTTATTAAATGATGCAGTAGAGCTGTTTGTTGCATATGGTACTGAGCTTCACAAAGTGTATACAATTTTTTCCGAGCAAACCCGAGAGTAAACCCCGCTATGCTTGCTAGTGGTTTTCGCTAGGCGGTGGTGGTACCAGAACACACGGCGTAGCAAGCAGAAACAGCACGCTCGATGCACGGCAGCGAATTTGTGCGGATTCATGCATATTTACAACAGGTCAAAGGAGATTACGGTGGCATCATGAGAGCCTTCACCACCAGAAATGTGCAAAGTAAAACATGCTTGGGCGCGTCTTATTAGTCAACTTGGCCTTTTATCCTTGCTGAAGCTGAGGTTAGCATCAAAATTCTAGCTTTCGACGCTGTTTTGGAGCAGTTCTGCGCAATTTTCGCTATTTCTTGCTTTTGGAGTAGCTTGGTAAAATAAAACAGAAATGTATAAATGCACAATATGCGCGGCTGTCTCCCCCCTGCATACCCCCTTTCTTGAACTCAGTAGGGTGATAATTTGCCTGCCATGCTACCACCACCTGTTTTGAGAGTTTGGCATGCCCACAGTTATTTGGGGAAGACTAAAGCGTTTCAAACTCCGCTTCAAGTTCAAAGCTCACAAGAGCTGCTATGATTGCACAAATGTTGCGGATAACTGAAAAAGTTCATTAACAATGTCCTAGCGAGTCATTAGCACAATTTTTTTTCACCCAGTGCATATCTATGATTCTTGACATTTCTCGGTGTTTCATGAGGCAACATCATTTTACAGAAAATGTCTGCAACCCGTCCCTTCAGTACAGCTCTATTTTATTATTTAACCCATCGAAAACCTTAAGAGTAAAAGTGACTTAAGAAGTTTATTTTTATGTCCACTGCTCGCTGAAGGTGGCCCTCGAATGATTTCGAATTGACGCATCACTCGGCTGAATCCCCCGCTACTCAGCTGTCTTTCCCATCTCTTGGTATCCACTGTCAGTGTCACTGACCATCAGTCTAATGCATTTCAGTTCTTTCTGTTTAAACGATGATCAGCTGGGCCCCTCTATTCTGTGATCTCCCTCTGCTTTCTTTAATCTCCTAAAAGGCCCGTTACCAGCTCTGACCATTTTGAGCTAACGAACGCAATGCATACACTGGGCGTTCACAATCACGTTTGCCAAAATATAGAATACTACACACTGTAGAAATAGGTCAAACTTCAAGCTGAACGCCACTTGCCCTTCATTTTACGAGCATGCACACAGAGAATGACGTGACCGGGAACTGGCCCTACTTGCAATGTTTCGACGTCGCTCCTCTACGTAGACATCTCTGCTCCCATGTCCCCCGCACATGACACTGCGGTTATTATTTAACACAACATGTGTATTTGTTGCTTGAATAAACTAATGAAATTTGAGAGAAATATAGAGATACACAAACGAAACATCTGCACTTTTTTCTTTTTTTTTTACTGTGAGTCACTGCATGATGCGAGACTAATCTTCCTTTTTTTTGCATGCACTTGCTTCTCATGGTTTGCCCAACAAGGAGACACCAGTCCAGAAAACTAAAGTAATAAGTTCTGGCATGTTAGAGCACGCGTGAAACTTATTTATTAGAAAGGCTACAAAGCGCATATAGATGGGGACGAAGGAAGAACACGCAAGGCATTGTGCCTTGGATACTTGGTTCTGTGGCAGGGCAAACTTACATGAACCTAACAAGCCAAGCACCAAGAGTACGAAAACAGCATTCACTTTTTTTTTTTTTTTGTGCACTGTCTCAGGCTTGTCAACATTAAAGAATTATGTCTCCTTTTTCATAGGGTCACAAAAGGAGCACTCAAACAATTTCCTTTGAGATGAACAATTTCACAAGCGTTCATCACTTCATATGTGAGCTTATCCTATTTTCTTTTTTGGTTACCAAGCACTGCCCCACAAGCAGAACTTCTGCTGTGCATTGACAAGTGGCCTGACACCACTGTCTTCCCAACTAGATTCTTGTGTTCTCAGAGCCACATGTTTACTTGTGAAGCAGCGCACGGAGACAAGGCACAAAAGGAACGAAAATAGAGTCCCTCGCAGCAACTTTAGTCCCATATATTATTTCCCGCAAGTCAAGGGCAGCGACACTTACTTCACAAACCGCTCTCTGTGTTATTTCGTACTTTCTTTGTGAAATCAATGTTAACAAGTGAACAAAGTTTTCACAGTTAGTTAAGAGGCAAAAAAATATAACTTCAACTCCAGCGCATGTATGGTCCTACAACAAACTTTTTTTCCTTCTTATCGGCTGGCCACCACACTTTTTAGCAGAACACAAGCACATGGTGGCAAGTCTGAGCAAGGAAACTTAAACGCAGGACTTCAGTAGAGTCAAACAATACGCCACTCTTCACAAGCTTGGTGTGACTGGAGGGGCCCAGGAGCAACGGTTTCCTGGCCCTTCGTTCGTAAAATTGGCAAATATGTCCTACAGTGATATTAAACCTGAGGTCAAGGAAATTTAGAGATGTGGAGACCAGTAGTTTGTGCATCAACTGTAGTGGCTGAATGCCGTCATTAAATAGAACCAAGACACATGAATCAGACATATGAAAGTTCTCGGCACCAATTTTCAAAACAATGAGGAAGCCATTTACCTACCTAAACGCATGTCTCATATTCAACCCTCCAAAATTTTCTCTCAAAATACGATGGTAGAAGGCTAGATAAAAATCACATCAAAGATGCATGACCCGATGCAAATCCCGTTACTCTTAATGAAGGTACTACCCTGCCATGTTATGAAAATGGTTGCCAAATAAAAATTTGAAAGCTCTAAAAAAGCTCCTTCATACTGGCTACATTGTGGAAGCCCGCTACACTATGGTCACTGATTTACTCCATCCCACAAAATCAGCTAATGAATTGAATTCATTATGCAATTAACAACCACGCTGTAGTGAGCTGCCGGCATGACTGATGCGGCTTTTTTATAGCCTTCAAATGACATGACATTGTAAACATACTCAACAATACTACTTTTATTAAATGTTGAGCCTTTAAAACTCCAGTCAAACTAGTCTCTTGGTCAATGCTTGAACATTTCAGTAGCTAAGAGAGAGACTGATCATTGAAATTGATGTTATATCACCACGGCACAGGAGATTTTCGCTGCACAGCATTTTAAGTAATCGTAGCATGTCTATAGGCACCCACCAGTGGAAGCTGCGTTTCTCACACTACCCCGTCTCAAAGTCGCTGATATTAGCCGCTAGGGGCACGTAGGAAATGGACGCGTGCACGCACCCCCGTGTTGCCCGGCCACAATCCGCCCACTCATGCAGGACGTGAGACGCACACATTGCGTTCCATTTTGACCAACCGCGTCTCAATGTTGCATCTTTCATCTGCTTGGCTTTGAGTTCTGGCGCAGCAGTCAGATTGGATAACTCGAGTGCATGGTGCCTAAAGTTTGTAACGAGAAAGGAAGGGGGGAGCTCGATCTTGCCACAGTTGTGTATCGAACAACAGATCTAGAGTAAAACGTGTGTACTCCACTTGGGGAGATTCTCAGGACAGTCGGTTTGTTTTATTACATTCTTTTTGAGGCATCCAGCCCTTTCGCGTGTAAGAGACGTCAAATGTTGCCATGCAGGGGGAAAGAGAAACATAAACGCCGCAACAAATTTTTACGATTGACACACGCTGAGCAAAAAAAAAAATTGTATTTTAGTCAAAAGAGAACCCTGTATTCCCCCATACACTCACCTAACAAGGAGAAAGTGTTATTGCTAGTTCGAAAAAAACATTTCTGGTGCAACTCTACCACTCTCGCGTCGTTTTGCGCACAACCTGGCAAACCCTTGGCACTATGCTGTCTATGGAGGTCAAAATTTCTCAGCGGGGTTAGCTTTGAAATTATGAATGCATACCTCGCAGCAACTCCAGCGAAAAGTCCGAAAGCGTAAACAACCGCTGGGTGCAACAACCCGATTGTCACGCAGCAACATGCACCACAGGCCTCGTGTGAATGGGTTGCACATATGAAAAACTGCATGCGATACTGACCTGCGAAGCGTGAATCCTCTTATTTGGAAGCTTTTGATGATCTTGCTGCGCACTTTCCCCGACATGTTAAGTTCTCAAAGATAATATCATGCGCATAAACGCACGCTTCGCAAGCTGACAGCGCACGTAAATGCTGCGTTGCACGCTTTTTTCTGATTCACCTTCCCGCGTTTTTCTGCACTTCATGTCGCCACAGAACACCTAATGTCGCCGCCAGGAGGCGGCAGAGCGGAACAACTAAGGACACGGACTTCCTTCCTCCGTGCCTAAGGAGGTTTACAAAAAGTCCGTTCGATTCGCCTGCACCACGTGAACCAGTTCACGAGGTGCTGCACCTTGCCATTCGATTCAGCGGTGCAGCATTGACGACCGCTGAACCCTGCCATTCGTTTCGAAAGGTGCAGGATGGGTGCAGCACCGGTTCATGATTTTCCTGCACCTCCTTCGCTGACGGTGCCGGCTTGGTGCAGGTGCGCGTGCAGCTGAGCAGACGACGCATCACTTAGACGTAGGTGGCTTAGGCGCCGTACCCGCCTCTACAAATGCGGTGTGTTTTGCCAAGATGTTTCCGCCTCATAAACTGTCCGCATGTTCGATTTGCCATCGGTCAGTGTTTGCTGAACGGTGTAAATTAAGCAAAAAGAAATAAGGCCTGCACCTTGTCGGCACATCATCATTCGTTTCGGGTGTCGTGCTGTGCCTGCACCGCTGAACTCACGCTGCACAATTTCTGAACTTCGCGTGCACAGCCGTGAATTGGTTCCGACCGGTGCAGGTGAATCGAACGGACCTAAAAAAAAATGCTGGAGTGGAAGCACCCGCAATGCTTTGCCAGCAGTGAAGCCAGCTTTTGCTATAGTGGCTAGAATAGATAAGTGTGATTATAGTGTACTAAAATATTATAGTGTGATGAACACGCCGGCTAGAGTAAGCTGCGTAACCATAGAGTTTCTCACAATACTTACTAGAGGGAACTCTAGCGCTAGTGTCTAAGGGAGCTGCAACGCACGGCGCTTCAGCGAGCATGAGAATAATGGGTAGTACACACATTTGTCTAATATTAGTACTTCTGACGAATCTGGCCTGCTTTTGGCTCCGTGTGTGTCGTGTGGCTTGGAGTTGTTTTTTCACAAAAACATAAATTAGCAAATGTTCACCGTTTGCGTTTCACAACCTTATTCTTTTATACTTACCATATTGAATCTCACTAAGTTTAAAAGGGTTTGTTCTTTTTTAAAAAACAAAACCGTAATCAGCAATAAACGAAGCCGCAAGTACGATTTGCCGCCCGCAAGTATGAAGACTAGGCAATTGTGTGTACTACCCATCATTCCCATGGTCGCTGAACGATGATGATGATGATGATGTGATGGCGGCCGGCCCCTTTGCAACGGGGGAACACACTCAGTGTCCTGGCCTCAAAAAGAAAAGTGGGAAAAGAAAAACAAAAAGCACAGAGAAAAAAGAAGAAAGGACCAAGAAAAGGATCCACACTCTTGAACGACACAGGCAAGAGACGCGCACACAGTGGTCTAGGTCCTAAGTCCGCCGTATAGTTGCCCACCACTCAGTAAGCCGCCTTTTCGTGGCTGCGACCGCGTACCGTCCCCCCCCATTGTCGCTGCTTCCATCTTCATCAAGCCTTTGAAACCCGAGCGCCTGTGGGAGGGTTGCACCCTCCACCTGAGAAGTTGGGAGACTCCTGCAGTGAAGGACGAGATGCTCCTGTGTCTCACTCGCTACGCCGCAAACTCTGCACAGGTTGCTGACCACAGTGGCATCAAACTTTCTGCGGTACTCCAGAGTGCGAAGAGCCCCAGCTCTCGCCTCGAACAGGAGGCTGCTGCCAATGCTATTGTCATAGAGGCGCACGTAAATGTAAACGATCGCAGTGCTAGAGTGCCCTCTAGTTAATTTTGAGAAACTCTATGAGCGTAATGTCTTAACAACGCCTCCTCTATGAAGATGCCTGCCACATGAGAAAAAAAAAAACAGCTGCCGCACCCTTTCTCTCCTTTATTTAGAAAATGGTCTCGGTCGCTAGCGTCACTTGTGGCGGACGGTGCAACAACGCAACACTTTGCATAGCCTCCGAAACAGTGATGCACAGTTGCAGGTCTCGAACAACTCTCGACTGACGCGCCCTTATAGGCCGCAGATGAAGGACGCCTAGCTGCACGGAGGAAGGAAACCTTCCTTCCTCCGTGCCTAGCTGGTACTGCCCGTCGCCGTGATGATGGATGGATGGATGATCGAATATGGCTGTACCCTTTAGATCGGGCGGTGGCTAGCGCCACCAAGCCGTAATATATAATGAACCAAAAACTATATTTATTTTTTTTCCTTAAAAAAGAGTTTGAGGATTCGTACTTCTCAGTGAAGAGTTTAATTTTCACTCGCGCCTTGACTTTAGCCACCAATCAGACAACCTCCTTCTAGTGAAGTCTACCCGCTTAAAGTTTGTTTTGCCCTCCCGGTCCCTAAACCCCAATGCTTTGAAAAACCCTGCGCCATCATCCTGAACTATAGGGTGAAGCCCTTTACAGAACATTATCAAGTGTTCGGCAGTTTCTTCTTCCTCTCCACACGCACTGCATACTGTGTCTACCCCTTCGTATTTGGCCCGATATGTCTTGGTTCGCAGTACTCCCGTTCTGGCCTCAAACAGTAGAGAACTACCCCGAGTATTATCATAGATCCTTTTCTTGGCAATTTCCTGCTTAAACGTTCGATAGACCTCTAGTGCGGACTTCTTAATCATGCCCATTCTCCACATGTCAGTCTCCGTTTCCTTCACTTTCTTCATAACCGATAGTTCTTTTTGGTTTGGCCACCTGCTGTTTTCTAAGTATTTACCAGTCAACTTCCTGGTTCACTTCCTCCATTTTGTATCGACATTATTCATGTACAAGTAGCTGAAAACCTTCCTAGCCCAACGCTTTTCCCCCATTTCTCTCAATCGCTTCTCAAATTTTATCTTGCTGCTAGCTTCCCTGCCCTCAAATGATGTCCATCCCATATCACCTTGTACTCCCTGATTTGGTGTATTCCCGTGAGCTCCTAAAGCAAGCCTACCTATTCCACGTTGCTTAATTTCTAATCTTGCTTGAACTTCTGATCTCATGCACAAGACCGCATTGCCAACGTCAGCCCAGGAACCATTACCCCTTTCCATATTCCTCTCACAACATCATACCTATTGTAATTCCACAGTGCCCTATTTTTCATGACTGCTGCATTCCTGTTACCTTTAGTCGTCACGTATATTTCGTGTTCCCTCAGATACTCGGTCCCATTGCTTATCCATACGCCCAGATATTTGTATTTATCTGTTATCTCTAGCGTGACCTCCTGTATTCTAAGCTCACTACCTTCGTTGTCATTGAAAATCATGACTGCTGATTTTTCTTACTGAAGCTGAAATCTAACCTATCTCCCTCATTACCGCAGATGTCCATCAATCTCTGCAAATCTTCCTTGTTGTTGGCCATTAGCACTATATCATCTGCGTACATTAATGCTGGTAGTGCCTGATCAATAAGTTTTCCTTGTTTTACTACAGAGAGGTTGAAGCCCAGTCCACTTCCCTCTAATTTTGCCTCTTATCCTTGTAGGTACATCATGAATAATAAGGGTGACAGGGGGCACCCCTGCCTAAGCCCCCGTTTTACCTCTGCAGGCTTCGATACCTGTTTTTCCCACTTTATAACTACCTTGTTACCTTTATAGATACCCTTTAAAAGATTAGTGACTACATGTTCCACGCCTAGTGTGTCCAGTATTCCCCACAATTCCTCTTGAACCACGCTATCGTACGCTTCCTTGATATCCAAAAATGCTAGCCACAGGGGCCTGTGTTCCTTTTCTGCTATTTCGATGCACTGCGTCAGTGAGAACAGATTGTCTTCCAACCTCCTGTGTTTCCGAAATCCATTCTGCAGTTCCCCCAGCACCCCCTCATCCTCTATCCATGCCTGCAGTCTTTCCTTTGTAATCTGCATCGCCAGCCTGTAGACCACTGATGCCACCGTTATAGGACGGTAGTTGTTTATGTCAGCTTTGTCTCCCTTTACTTTATAGATCATGCTCATCCTGCTAAGTTTCCATTCATCGGGAACTTCACCATCTATTATTATTGTGCTCACTGCCTCTCTCAAAGCCTGCTTAGACTTCGGACCTAATGTCTTTATCAGCCTAATTGGAATGCCATCTGGGCCTGTTGATGTACTAGTATTGTAGTATGATGGATGGATGGATGGATGGATATGGCTGTACCCTTTAGATCGGGTGGTGGCTAGCGCCACCAAGCCGTAATATATAATGAACCAAAAACTATATTTATTTTTTTTTTCTTAAAAAAGAGTTTGAGGATTCGTACTTTTGCAGTGAAGAGTTTAATTTTCACTCGCGCCTTTACTTTAGCCACCAATCAGACAACCTCCTTCTAGTGAAGTCTACCCGCTTAAAGTTTATTTTGCCCTCCCGGTCCCTAAACCCCAGTGCTTTGAAAGTATTGGTCGCGATAGTATGATAGTATGATAGTATTGGTCGCGAGCGCCACCGCGCGGAGCTTCTTTAAAACTGAAGGCAGGCCAACTTTGCTGGGAGCGTGAGTCATTCCTCAGGCATGTTTCTAGAGGAGGCGTTGCCGCGTTGGTCTTGAGTACAGTGGCTATACTAAAAGTGTTATCACCGCCAAGCGGCTGCAATAGGAGGTAGTGACGCCGCTTTGCGATGATCCCGCTAAGTGACGCGCACTGTCGTATACACGTCAGGCTCTCAGGCTGTGCACGAAGTTCAACGCTGCAACTCGCCGGTCAAACGTGATTCTTTTGCCTGTTTAAGCTGTTCTTTCGTGCTGAATTTGCTGTTCGGACAGCCTTCTCGTGTCCACGTTATGTCTTTTGTGGAGTGTGTGCCATGAGCAGGCGTCAGACCCACTGTTTTGTGCCCAGATGCTCAACTGGGTACAAATCGTGCAAGCAGAAGCTTTCATTGTTTGGAGTCCCGAAAAACGACCATTTGTTCCAGCAGTGGCAGCGTAATATACCAAGAGCAGACAAGCTTTTGAAAAAGAACGCTGCCGTTTGCGAGCTCCCCTTCGATCAGCAGTTCATCTAACGCCACTTCGAGCACGTTATTAACGGTGAGGTAGTGCGTTTGGACAGAGCTAGGCCTGTACTATTGCCGCATGCCGTCCCAACGATCTTTCAAAATG